GCGCACAAGGTCGCCCAGTCATCAAAACATTACCGAGTTCTTCACCCGCCACCCACCACAGCCTGCCCAAGTCAGTGATAGTGATAATGATAGTGAGGATATGGACTTATATGGACTTTGAGGGGTTTGACAAAGAGGCCCTGCAAGCCTCTGTGGTGGATAGTGATACAACTGATACAAGTGATACAGGTGAGGGCCAATAATCTGCCCTCTGCCTCGGAACCAACCCCCCATCCCCGTGTGCCCAGCCATCTTTTCTACTAATGTAAGTGTTAAAAAACCTAATATTATTGATATTTCTCTTAATTATTAATTGTGTGTGCATACCATCATAAAATTAAGAAGTTATTTTTACTACAACGTAGGTATTGTGTCTGAAAAAGTGGAGTTTGGGGGGTCGGCCCGGTCTCTATTTCAATTAATCCCATATGTTATGTTGTTCACTTTACGCGTTTCTCAATTTACTCGGGCCGCCGTGGGTTGAATTAACCGCGTAAAGTGAGGGTTCACTGTAGTTGTTTTGCTGAAACGTTATGTATTTCAATGTAAAATAGGATAAAATACATGACGAAAACAAAAGACTTTACCTAACCTTCCGATGTTCAAGAGATGTTACCCATTTTTATAATAGTTTTCGGTTAAAATACTGTTATATTACAATGATATTCTATTCATACTGTGCTTGATATAATGCATTCACGGAAATGTAATATTTTTGCTGAAATGACGTACGTATTCCAGTGGAAAGTGGGATAAAATCGTGACGAAAACAATGACTTGCTTTCTTTCGTTCAAAAGATGTTACCGTAATCGCTTTTCGAATGATTTTCAGTTAAAAAACTGTTGCATCACAAGTGAATTAGGATAGAATATTATTGTAATACAAAAGTTTTTTAACTGAAAACCATTCGAAAAGCGATTACGGTAACATCTTTTGAACGAAAGAAAGCGAAAGTCATTGCTTTCGTCACTTTCCACTGTAATACGTACGTCATTTCAGCAAAAATATTACATTTCCATATTCTCAGAAATAAATAGTAGTTTTGCTGAAACGTATTGTATTTCAATGTAAATTAGGATAAACTACATGAAAACAAAAGACTTTACCTAACCTTCCGATGTTCAAGATATATTACTCGTTTTTTTAATAGTTTTCGGTTAAAATACTGTTATACTAGTGATATTCTATTCATACTGTGCTTGATATAATACATTCACGGAAATGTAATATTTTTGCAACTACAATGCTGATGTGAACACAAGCGTGGTTACAGCGAGACTGACTGAGTGAGGGAGAGCTATGCGTGTGTGTGAGGTTGCGGGCGGTGTCCTGTGTTCGGTGCCGCGCGCGGGTTGAATGGCGCGCGATTTGAATGTACTTCAATTACTTCAATGTACAGAATATTCCTCCGGCGGGGCAATCCGCGTATTTGCAAATCCATGTATCTTATGCTAAACCCACGTATGTTATGGACTGACTGTAACACAATACTGTATTAATAATAAAATGCAATATAAAATAATAGAAAATTTATTATAAAATAAATTAATTCTGAACCGATAGAAAGAAATATCATTCTGTACTCACATCCTTCAGCGGGGTGGAAGACTTCTGGAACTTGTAGATGGACTTTGGGGGAGGAAGTGAGTGAATAAGCCCAAGTAAAATGTAAGAGTGAGAGAATGTAGGTGAGTGTGGAGTGAGTGTGTGGATGTGAATGAGTGTGTGGATGTGAATGAGAGTGTTGGAGTGTGGATGAGTGTGGGAGTGTGGAAGAGGGTGTGTGAGTAGAGAAGGAGAGGAATTCCAATGTAGCATAGCTGATAAGTGGAGTGTGGGAGGTGGAAGGTCCATGGTGACCATGGGAGGCATGTGGTGGAGTGGTGGTGGTAGACCACCTGGTTGGTGAGGAAGGGAGGTAGTGGGTAGTATGAGGCTTGCATAATGCAGGAGATACAAAGGAGATGCTTGGGATGTGGAAGTTTGTGGTGAAGAAGAGTGAGAGCGGTATGTTGTTGGTGCAGGGGGTGGTGGTAGAGGGAGTCTCTGGTGGCGAGGTGCGTGACAACATGTATGCAACCGACACAATTTCTCCCTCAGATTCATGACTTTCTTTGCAGTTATCACGATCATTTTCACTATCAGGCTCTTTCTTATCACTATCTACTTGTCCCTCACTGTCCCTAAACACAAATTCTAGAAAATCATCCTCTTTCAGACTTTTTTTTGGAGACATTGTCACTATAATGAGGTTGTATAGAATGACGCAGTAACGGCTTTTGAAAACTAAACACTTTCTCTGTAAATATGAAAAAAAATATTACATTACACAATCATCGCTTCACTTCTCTAACACTAAAAAGAAATTATTTCAGGGAGAAGGGTAAGCACTGTATTCCAGGAGTTTAGGCAGCCTGCACGGAGCTATGGAAATTTAAGTGGACACAGCTCACACTCACGGTCTGACTGCCGAGATTATATTGTGCATTTATTGTTCTGGTCTTCCCTTCCTATAGGCCTGAAGAGTTGCCAATTAGTTAATTTGATAGATCTTACTTGTTAATATGACATCGAAATTTGACACAATTCTATTGAAACTTAATTTTTGGCGAATTTTTTAAATTTTGGTGACTTGATTTGCATTACCGTGAAATTGGTCTTATCATGAATATGACGCGCATCCTGTCATCATGAGCGAGAGGGTTAAAATAAATCCACAGTAAATTATACAAAAATAGTTAACTAAAGACAAAAATAAGACACAGCATTATGCATGCTTATTTGCAAATCTTTCTATTGAAATCAATCAATAACTGATACTCAAAATTATGGCTGTCCAATCAGGAACCTCTCGGTCTAAAGATAAGCCCAGCATCAGCGTGACCTACCGAGAGAAAAGGTTCAGCCACTCTTCTCCCTATAATCTATCACAGGCATAGTGAACGTGCTGAAAATATATCCATCCAACATTATGATCACTTTCTTCCTTATCCAGACACAAGTATCGTCGACGTGGACTTATGGTCCGCAGACATAATGTTGTCTCTGCTCGCATTAGGTTAGGATACAGACCTATCTGGCAAGTATGAGGCAGGGATGACCCGCACTTCTCTTCCTGTAAATTCTGTAACTGTCCCAATGCTCACACCCTTCAACACTGTTGACAAGACTGACCCACTGTCAGGGACCTTCTACCACAAGACGAGTCACTAACCACTATACCTGTATGTCACCTTCTACTTACTCATAATAATTTAGATTTAATTCTTGTGCACTACCCACATTTGGTGGGTGCTAACAGTACTCCCATTGTCCTTAAATCATATCAATATTGTCTCCACAGCATGTCCTGCAAGACACGAGTACCAATGAATAAGTGTTAGACCACATGTCTTGTGACTAGGCTTGTGTCCCCCTGGGGTGTAATAAATTAATTAAACAATTAATAATAAGCCCAGGATGATGAAACAGACACTCACAAGCAGCAGATGCAGGTAGTGGGGTGTTAAGCTTGAGAGATAAGTCACATAATGTTGGGAATGACCTCATTAGCTCCATTCCATCCCGTGGGCATGCTAAGTAGCTACCAAGCTCCTTCAGTTGAGGAGTTTGTGGATGATTGTTGCCTCCATAGTGACTGAGTCTGACTAAGACCCACTGTGAACTGTCCCTATAATTGGGGAGTGGCTGTCGTGACATCACTTTTCGATTCTAATTAATGAGTGGCTGAATTTTATGTACCACCTAACATCTGGCAGGTGCTGGGGTGGGGGAGGGGGGCAGTGGTACTTGTGTACAAAGAAATGTATACTGTATTCCCTTTATGTGTTTGCCCTTAGGACAATTATTTCTTTTACCTGTATTGTATATATGTGTGTGTGTGTGTCTACACACACACACACATATACAGTATATACAATACAGGTAAAGGAAATTACTGTCTCTAGAACGAATGGCTCTCTCTCCCAGCTGTGAAAATTCCAGCAACTTTAAAATTACCCTCAGACATTCTTGGGTAATCCAGGGTGTCATCCGTGAATAACCGAGGACTGTGAAATAAAAATCCGCGAATTATCCGGGAGTACTGTATTCAGATTTTAGAAGTGCAACCTGTATCAATAAACAGTGCCAATACCACAGCCAAGCCACAACAAAGTCCAACAGGTCTTACCAATCAATATGCCAAATGTCTAACTCATTACCATCTAGTTCAAATCCAGGCCATTTTTCATGAGGTGTTGGTGGTACAGAGGTAATGTGTGTATCTCTCACTACTACATCATGGGTTCGAGCTCTGGCCTAAGACACATGTGGGAAGGGCATTATCCAGTGTGGCCCAACAAACATCACAGGTTTCCAACTGTATTAACACTGGACTAAAAAGTTCATAACAAAGTAACAAATGTACAGACCAACAATCTGAATGGCTAGTAAGCTGATAACTGATGAAATGATAAATCAAAACACTAATTATAACTTTGCTCTAAGGTACTGCTCTGTACTGGGTAATCATCTTTTAACTGCAACTGGTCAACAAAGTCATAGAACATAAAGGCCAACAAAATTCCTCCCATAAACTAATTCTACCATGACATTTTGTTGTGAAAAAATCTCAACAAAGACAAATGCATTTGTCCACACCTATAACATATAAATTACCTTTTAGGATATGCTAAAAAAGCTTGACAACACTGAATCATAAAACTATTACAAAACCAAAGTACAGTACTGTACATCACTCATTTTAGTTTTCTCAAGTTTGTATGACCTGAAGTAACATTTTCTCTAAGATGATGGGACAATCTAGACCCGACCCACACAGAGAGCGAGTAACTCATGGTTATGGTTCCTGGTCATGATGTATTAAGTGTGAGGAAAGAATTGCTCCATCAGATGAATAATAATGACAGTCAATTTCTAAATCTATATGTTTAAATGAATTGATTGTTTTACTAAGTTTACAAGTACAGTACTAATATGAGAGGGTATCAACACCTACCTGATGTACAGCTGCTTCCTTCTTCTGTTGAGTTTCCTTCAGTATTCTCAAGTGGGCTTTTTCTCCTCTAAATACAGCCCTGCCATTTGAGCGTTCAAAATAAACCAGAGGATAAACCCTGGCCAACATAGCTGTCATCTGTCCTACGAGGCCTCCATTACCGAGTGTTGCTCCAATGAGAGTGGGTAGTGGACCCCTGTGAGGGGCGAGACCAAGGCGTGACCACCACCGTGCTCTTCGGGTCATGTTTGTATGGAGACGCAGACAAAGGGTGGCTGGTGCCTGGTTGTCACACAAATGAAGAAAAATGTCTACATCCACATCATTTATTTAAAATTTATAAATCTTTCCTGTCTGCAAACAACTATCATCACTGTTACAGGAATTTAAAACCTGTTTTGTTTCAAGTTTAAATAAGATGAACATGCAATGCCTCAGGAAAACAAGATACAGTAATATCCCCGTTAGGTGGAATAATTGGTGAAGGGCTCTTCCGGAGACGAGTTTCCAGGTAACTTGACGACTCTCAAATCCAGAATAAATCCCACATCCCCGGAATGTTCTCGGATACAGGTGTTGACAATAATATGACGAGGTTAGGGACTTCAAAAAGCCATTGTAATGTGACAAATCGTGTATCAATATTAATAACTTATACGGAGAAAAGAGGTCCCATTCCTGAGACCCTGAAGAGCTGGAGTTAACACTCACAGCGGTTATTTTTCAGCTCATAATTACAGGCAGACATACATAATTTTTTTTTAAACTTTGTTACATACATACACAATCTTTTATAGAAAATGTGAAAAACAAACAAATAATACTAAGAATAATACTACAGTACTATTAATAATACTACTAATAATAATTATCATAAGGACAACAACATAAAGGAAAACATATTTCTTCCTGCAAGCTGTGACCTATGTTATGGTTATTATGCAACTCGTAATTTTGGGTAGATATACAGTACAATATGTATTTTTTTATATTTTTTATTTTACTCTATTACATGCACACAATCAACCATCCATACAGAAATGAGCAGAAAAAATAAAAAATAATTCTCTGACTAAGTGCAAAAATTGAAGGACCTCATGGCTCTCCTTCCTTATAGAAAAGGCAGCCAACTCTTCTACAAAGCCTTAAAGAAGGATGACTCAGAACGATGGTGATAATTATGATGAACCAGAGGAGATAAGAGATTCAAGACGATGACTAGTAGGTAATGGAAGCTCATTAGTGCTGAAAAGTATACTCTCAATTTAACGCAATCTGATATAATGAACTCTCGATTTAGCGGAAGGTATTTTTTCGTTAATTTTTGCTCGATTTAGTAAACTAGTTTGCTAAGTAGAGATTAACTCCATTAATACGCTCACACCTACGGAGACATTTCAGACACATGATACAGTATAACCTACTTCAGTCTACGGCACATGTACTAAATGTATAAAAACGATAAATTATATAAAGCAATTACCAGAAAATCTGAGAAAATGGCGAGAAAATCGCTCCAAACATTTCTGCTCTAGGCCTGGGGACAAACGTGGTATATCATTTTTTTTTCTTAGAAAAAGAATTATGTTCATTCATATTTTTATCAGATACATTCAGTCGTGATTTTTTTTTTGCTGTAAAATTAGTGAGATGTATCTTACCCTAACAAAACCTAACCTTACCTAATCTTACCTTACCTAATCTTACCTTACCTTATCTAACATAACCTAACGTTACCCTTCCTAACCTAAGAAAGCTGCAATGCACATGACAAACAATTAAGTTCTCTAGAAAAATTTCAGTATCTTTTTCTTTAAGAAATACATTTGCAGAGACAACAAACTTTTCATATTCATTTCTCCAACATATAAAGGTTAGGTTAGATGGTTATTTAGGCTTACAGTTTTTATCTTATATAATATCTCAGACTAAAGTTAGGAGATTATAATTTGCATTGCTGGAATCCTTGCAAGACAGCCAATAATTTGAATATAAACGTCATATATTTTGATCAAGAGAGAAAAATTGTTGTACATTTGCGTACAGTACTGTAGTACATTTTATGAAAAAGTTTTTCAACTGTATTTTTGGGTAGATTTACATAGATTTCTTCATTTATTTTCATCCATTTACATGCACACACCATACTAAAAGAAACGTAATAGAAATAAACGATGTTAGTGCAAAGCTGGAGGGCACATGTACTAATTTGATTACGGTACTAAAATTGTTTTGTCGAGTGCAAATTATAGCATGTTTATATTCAAATTAATCAGTATGTTACAAGAATCCCAGCTATGTTAATTATATTCACCCAGGTAATTTCACTGGGTTTTTATAAAAGAGAAGCTTAGTCACCTAAGAACTGATAAATATACACGCGTTAGACCTGGGACTGTGCCAACTGTCAAACGTACTACTGTACCTCACCTCCCCCCACGCCCCCTCGCTTGCTCCCACCCTCTCTCTCCCCCATCTGCTTGGCGCTGCTGGAATCCTTGTAAAACAGTGAATAATTATAATATAAACGTCATGTATTTTGCACAATATATATATATATATATATATATATATATATATATATATATATATATATATATATATATATATATATATATATATATATATATATATATATATATATATATATATATATATATATATACACACAGTTTTACCCCGCTTAACGCGCTTTCACTTAACGCGTTTTCGCATATACGCGGTGCCTTGCCAAAGCTGAACTTTCACTTAACGCGGGTTTTTTCCACATATACGCGGTGAGTGTCCGAGACGCTATTTTTAGATTTGCCCCACCCGCCACCCTGCCTGACTGCCTGTCTTAGCTCATAAAATTCATACAAATTACCAGGCCAGAATATAATTTACATTGCTGGAATTCTTATAATTTGGTGATCATTTTGAATATAAACATCATATATTTTGCTTTAAACTTACAATTTTTAGATAAAAATTTTTCTCTAGGTAACTATGGTATCCTTTGTCCAAAATATATGACATTTATATTCAAAATATTCCTGGTCTTACAAGGAATCCAGCAATGTCAATTATATTATCCTAACTTTAGTTTGAGGTATTATTTATTAAAATTTAGTGGTTATCCCACACATCTCCTTGGGACGGTTGGTGGGGGGTGGGGGGGAGGGAGGGACCAACCGACCATCTGTTACCGTGTGAAGAATTATTATTTTTTTTTATTAACTGAAGATATTTGTCTTAGCTCATAAAATTCATACAAATTACCCGGTCAGAATATAATTTACATTGCTGGAATTCTTATAATTTGGTGATCATTTTGAATATAAACATCATATATTTTGCTTTAAACTTACAATTTTTAGATAAAAAATTTTCTCTAGGTAACTATGGTATCTTTTGTGCAAAATATATGACATTTATATTCAAAATATTCCTGGTCTTACAAGGAATCCAGCAATGTCAATTATATTATCCTAACTTTAATCTGAGGTATTATTTAATACTAAATGTTAAAAACCCTGGAAGGGAGGATTGGTGGGGGGTGGGGGGGAGGCAAGGTGGGGTACTTTGATTGACAGATAGTGTTGTGAAGATTATTTTTTTTTTTATTAACTGAAGATATTTGTTTTAGCTCATAAAATTCATACAAATTACCTGGTCAGAATATAATTTACATTGCTGGAATTCTTATAATTTGGTGATCATTTTGAATATAAACATCATATATTTTGCTTTAAACTTACAATTTTTAGATAAAAAATTTTCTCTAGGTAACTATGTTATCTTTTGTCCAAAATATATGACATTTATATTCAAAATATTCCTGGTCTTACAAGGAATCCAGCAATGTCAATTATATTTTCCTAACTTTAGTTTGAGGTTATCCCACACATCTCCTTGGGACGGTTGGTGGGGGGTGGGGGGGGGGAGGGAGGGACCGACCGACCATCTGTTAGCCGGCTGTGTAGTGTGAGAGGGGAAGGGAGTTGAGTCCATTATTTGAATGGACATTAACTTGGCGACTGTATTTTTCTATTTCTCTTAAGTATTAATTGTGTGCATGTACCATCATAAAATTAAGATGTTATTTTTACTACAACATAGGTATGTGCCTTCAAAAAGTGGAGTTTGGGGGTCGGGCCGGTTTCTATTGGAATTAATCCCATATGTTCTGTTGTTCACTTTACGCGGATTTCACTTAACGCGGATTTCACTTAACGCGGGACCCTCTGGGTTCTATTGACCGCGTTAAGTGGGGTACAACTGTATATATATATATATATATATATATATATATATATATATATATATATATATATATATATATATACAGTCATGTGCCGGTTAACGTCCTAGATACGTTCTTGGAAACGTGACGTTAACCGAAATGGACATTGTCCGATCATCACAAACTTTATATTTATACTAACTTGTATGTGGAATACTATATAATTACATATACACTTTTACTCTTAAATCACTACTGTAATGTGATACAGGTGATTAATTTTTATCTCTTGTGCAAAATACATGACGTTTATATTAAAATTATTCACTGTTTTACAAGGATTCCAGCAACGCCAAGCAGATGAGGGAGAGAGAGGGTGGGAGCGAGCGAGGGGGCGTGGGGGGAGGGGAGGTAGTACGTTTGACAGTTGGCACAGGCCCAGGTCTAACGCGTGTATATTTATCAGTTCTTAGGTGACTAAGCTTCTCTCTTATAAAAAGCCAGTGAAATGACCTGGGTGAATATAATTAACATAGCTGGGATTCTTGTAACATACTGATTAATTTGAATATAAACATGCTATAATTTGCACTAGACAAAACAATTTTAGTACCGTAATCAAATTAGTACATGTGCACTTCAGCTTTGCACTAAGAAATCTATGTAAATCTACCCAAAAATACAATTGAAAAACTTTTTTATAAAATGTACTACAGTACTGTACACTAATGTACAATAATTTTTATCTCTTGCGCAAAATACATGACGTTTGTATTCAAATTATTGGCTGTCTTACAAGGATTCCAGCAATGCAAATTATAATCTCCTAACTTTAGTCTGAGAAGAGTTATTATTGTATTTCATTTAACGCGTCAATAGAACTCCAGAGGTCCTGTGGTTAAGTGAAATCATGTTAACTGAACAACAGAACATATGGGATTAATTCCAATAGAAACTGGCCCATCCCCAAACTCCACTTTTTCCCACACAATACCTATGTTCTAGTAAAAATAACATCTTAATTTTATGATGGTACATGCACACAATTAATACTTAA